CAGAGGGAATTTGTAGCATAAGCTTGACATGGTGTAGCTTTTCCTCTTGTCAGGATAAACTAAATGACTGTATTTTACTTTTTTAAAAAAAATGTGGAGTATACATGACAAAGAAAAAGTTTTGTATTAATACATTCACATAATGACTAGGAAACGGCTTTTGTACTTCTCAGGAGAAAAATGGTTGTGCTTATTAGACTGGACTGCAATACATTATTCAAAGGTTTTCCCAGTCCAAAGAAAGATATTTCTGTAATGAAATTGATTGGAAAAAAAAAGAGTTCATTTTAAAGCCTATACAGTATGACCACTACTGGATTAACACTGATGATTTTTCCCCAAAAAAACATTTCATAGTTTAAACTATGGTAATGATTGAGGCTTTGATCATTTCAAGTCTTTCTCTTTTGTGATTTTAGTGATTTATGTTTAATAATTTTAAAAAATGGTTTGTCTTTTTTCTGTGTAAGCAAGCTTCTTTTTTCTTTGTTTCCTCCTTACAAAGCTATCTGGAAAATAGTTTCCCAGTGCTTTAAGTATAATAAAGCAATTTAAATTCTGTGGTGCCATGGCAATTAAACTACTGTTCAGTTCTTTTTTCTTATGTATTTTTATTAATATTTTACATTTTTGTTCAAGTGATATCAGCCATTATATATTATACTTTGAATCTGTTAAATTGTTTTGTTTTCTCTGCAGTTAGAACACACAATATTGTTTTGAACAAAGATTTTTAAATGGTCAATTTTTTGATCCATGGTTTGTCCCTTTGAAAGAAACCAAGTTTACTTAATCTACAAAGGCATCTATTAACTTCATACAATACTGTACTATAAAGAGTAAATATTTTTCTATGCTCCTGAACAGTTAAATTGCATAGTGTGGCATTAAAACTTTAAACTTACCAGTTCACAATTAAAAAAGGTTTTACATTTTTATTATTGGTCATCATGGGAAAGTCACTCATAAATTTTAATTTTAGATTTCTTTTAAGCGCTGGCAAGACTCCTCAGATATTATCATTTGCCTGAAAGTTGTAGTTCTGGCATTTAAAAGTTCTGATAACAGATGCTTGACCAAACATTTAGTCCTCTATTTCTTTATTAATCTTCTATTTTAAAAATAATAATAAACAACTTTGAGCTCATTGCTTAAAGTATTGGAGATCACCTACTGTTTTATAATTATTGCACTTAAGGAAACAAAAGAACATACTTTTTTTAAATGTAGGATAATGTGTTGTGTGGAGATACATCCTATTTGATCTTCCTCTCCAAGCTCAAAAATTATCAATAAGATCTCTGCTAAATATATTTTCATGGATAACTAATTTGTTCTTTCTAATATTTTGTAGAAAGATTATGTGACAGTGGTTAATACTTTTTGTTTTAATAGTAATAAAATCTTTGGGATATCATTAACATTGTCAGAAAATAATTTTGCCCAAATCAAATGTTAAATGAAACTATTTTATATATAACATTAACTGTATTGGCTGCTTCCAGAAATGTTCTGTTGTTAGTTGGTTTAAACAGATTTTTTTTCCTGCTCAGGTGGATTACGATAAATTAGGAATATTTTCCTTCTATTAGAATATATGGAATATATGAAAAAATATTTTCTCTGGCATTCTGCAAACATGGATTGGCATTTGGGCTCACCTTAAAACCATCTTCTTCAGCTCACATATAAATACAAAGCATTTGTATGACAAAGCATTTGACTTTATCTGAAATGTGTGCATTTGTGTGTCTTTGAATAAGTTTTGACTCCTGGTGGGTGACTGACTGGCCAATCCCCTGCAGTTTTCTTGCCAAGTTCATGGAAGTGGCTTGCCCTTGCTCCCTTCCTAGTGCTGAGAAAAAAATGACTGGCCCAAGGTCCAACAATCTACAGTATATATTTAAAATGTTGTTATGCTTGGGAGATTTGTTGGTATAAAGATATTTTTGTACTAATAATAGTATGGCAATAATATCATCATTAATTGTTGCAGCCCTAATTTTAGATACAGTTGATGCTCAGAAAAAGTCAGAAATTGGCTGAGGAATAGAAGGTCTGTTATTACAGTGGTGAAGGGGATGTGGAAGAGTTACCAAGCCTTTTTGATATGTATCTCTAATTGGGATCTCTTTGCCTCTGAAGCAATTTTACCTTCTTGACATTTCACCTGCACTGTTCCTCTGTGTTTTTAACTGTGATTGAATGTTTCTAGTGGCCATCTGATATTGTATAGTGCTAGTTTATTAATTGTATACTTTACCTTTGTCTTTTTTTTTTTTTTGTATTTTAACTCTTATAAAAACAGTAGTATTTGACTGATGATCACAACTGAGTCCAAATTTTCTGTTGCTAAGTGAGATTTGTATTGTGACTTTTGCCTCACTTTACAACTTTCTTTCCACAGTTGTTAAGTGAACCACTGCAATTGTTAACTTTTGCTTGACATTTGCTTGTCAGAAGATCATAAAAAGTGATCACATGACCCCAAGACAATGCAACCTTCATAAATACGAACCAGTTGCCAAGTGTATAAATTTTAATCATGTGATCATTGGGATATGCTTCAATGGTCATAAGTGTGAAAAACAGTCATAAATCACTTTTTTCAGTGCAGTTATAACTTTGAATAGTCACTGCATGAATGGTTATAAGTTAAGAATTGCCTGTATTTTGCCCAGATTCTGCACATTGGGGCAAGTTTCAAAAACTGTGAGATGAATAAATTAATCTGATCAGATCAGATCTTCCAATAAATACTAAAGGTCTGTGAATCACTTGTGATAGGATTTAAATCTGTGAACTGAGTCATATCTATAAACTGATTCGAAGAATAAGCAATGTTTGATAAAAAAATATGTCCCTAGAAACACAGATGTCCTCTGAACCTTTGAATTGATTTGAAGATACTTTATAGTGGTGATTTGATTTGAAAAATTGGGTGAATTTGATTAAATAGCCTTTAAATTTAAAACTTCTTAGACAAATAATAAATACTAAACTGACTACAGTGTTCATGCTGTGAGAATATTTGCTTTAGAACAGTTTCCATCTGGAAATGAAAAAAAAAAAGATGATTGAAGCATAAGGCATGTTTGTTTATTTAGATTTTGGTAAACCAAGGAGAAGCTCATCTATCAAAATTTTGCCTGCCAAAATTGCTCGGTCCATTTAACAATTTCAAATCTGCAGTCATCTTTTAGAGACAAGATATTGGCAATGCAACCTATATTCACAGCTTACTTTCATACTTAGTATTTTTCTCCACTGGCAATATCCCTTTCCCAGGTGCACAGCCCCAGCTGGCCCAGGCACACCAACACATCTTAGAGGGAGCTATACACTTTAATTAAAAATAATGGCCGTTAATATAAAATCAAATTAAACAACACAATAATCTAAAACATTAAATCTTAGGGTGAGCAATTTTGCTCAAGTTAAAAACATCCCAAAGACAGTCCTTTTTGGCTAAATGTCCCCCCACCAATCTTGTCGCCTCATAAACATGTCCTCTGCGGGAGAGGTGATTCGGAAAATACTGGAATGTGCAGAAATGAATAGACTAACAATGACAATTAAAGATAAGGCAGAGTCAGACTACTATGAAATCTGGGGAACCTTTTATGATTGGCTGAAAAGAGAATATTGTTAAAAGATAGTTAACATCAATTTAGATGGAAGAAGAAGGAGCAGATAAGGAGGGAGACCCAGGCGACACAGTATTGAATAACTGGAGGTTGTATAAATATTTATAGAAGTACAGTATATACCGAGAAGGTTAGATAAATAGAAGTATTAATGTAAGAGAAAATTAATCTTATTGTATATAATACAGATAGGGAAATTTGGAAAGAGGAGTTGCTCGGACATTACCCCTGAATTGTATCTGAAGAGGGATGAGAGGGAAGAAAAGAGAGGAGAGAGAAAAGAGTAAAGGAGGGGAGAAGGAAGTAGGAAGGTTGGAGGAGAAGAGGAGAAGTGGGGAGAAAAGGGAGGAGAGTGGTGAAGGAAGGAGAAGAGGAGAGAAAGAAGAGGGAAGTTGGGAAGAGAAGAAAGGGAGAAAGAAGGTAGAGAAGAAGGAGTGTGGATACAGTGAAAGGGGAAATGGGCGAGCAACACCAAAAGTCATGTGTATGTATTTATTTCATTTTATTAAAAGTATCTTATATATGAATGTAAAAAGAATGTATGTTAACATCTGATAAATATCACGGTATATGTATGGGGGAGAGTTTGGAAAAATAAAAAAATTATTAAAAAAAACCCCATGTCCTCTGAAGGACCAGTCAAAGGCCTGTGGAATCTCCCTCTTATGGCAGCCAGGATACAGTCTCTCGGCCGAGATATCACCATCGCTCTTCCTTAGAGTGGCAATCTGTCTCTCCTTTTGAAGGAGTCGAGCCTCTTTTCCTCATAGCTGCTTCTTTTCACTCCCTTTCAGTGCTTTCTTCTGAGATGCTCAAATCTGTCGTCCTACTCTCCAGCACTTTGATTTAACTCTTCCTCCTGGGGACTATATTTCCCAGAAATCTCCCCCAGGGCCTCCTCCTGTCCCAATTCCAGGGGCAAGGCCCCAGCCAGCCAGCCAACTAGGGAATGCTGCTAATGGGGCAGGCTTCATTAGGATCTGTATCTTGAATTTAGGAGTTCCCATCTCTCTCTATCAGAATGCAATGTCATGAAAATAGGCTTACTCTCATGAAAATCTTACTGTTCCCCCCCCCCCCCCGACACCCTAATTTGTTGTTTTCTTTTCTTTCTGCATATCTGTAAACCACAAGAAATTCTTCTGGTTTATACTGTTAGCAAGGTTTGTTTTTTAAAACTTTTCTACCACACATCCATATAGTAAAGAAGAAAACTGGTTGTATGTTTATTTTGTTGATGAAAAAGAAAGATTGCTATTTCAAGAATAATCTTTGGTTTGCATACAATAATTTCAGTTTATAATGACATAAACCTGAAACCTGTTTGTATCTTTTTTTTTCTCCTTTCGCTAGAGTTGGTGCTAGTGTGCATTTTACCTGCGAAGATAATTATGTGCTCCAAGGAACAAAAAGCATTACTTGTCAAAAGGTGACAGATACTTTAGCTGCTTGGAGTGACCATAGGCCAATTTGCCGTGGTAAGTATTGTTCAAGATGGAAGCTGGTGGGAAGGGCTATTTATATTTATATAACCATCCTGTTCTGCTTTCATGAATTAATCATATACCTGATACAGCCAATGGCCACATTTTTATTCAGAGTGCACATTGCTCTTGCCAAAACTCAGGAAATCTTTGGGATCTGTTGGTGAGAACCATCCCAAACTTGAATAAACTCTGATCCTTTGTGTTAGATTATGCCAAACCACTAAGGACTAACTTCCCTGCCTTTATGGAAAATTAGTTATCCTTTGAATCTTAAGCTTTTAAAAATTAATTACATCCCTTTGTCTGGCACATTTTGCATGATATATAAATACTCAATTAACATGCCTTGCCCTATATTTATTTTCTGTGTGGTGAATTAATTATCAGTTAATTAATTATTAAAAGATCTTTGCAGCTCCACAGGTACTATCTGGTAATTATAAGCTAGTTTAGCAATTAAGGTATTTTAATTCTAAGGTAATATTCATATTAACAAACATCTTAGTATATAGAAATAAAATATTCATATATCTTGATTTCCTTTTAGGCTGTGCTCAAAGGAAAAAGAATCAACTACATACATTAGTATATGTACAATGTTACAGCTGAAGGACCTCTAATGTTTAAGTTAATTACTTGAAATTTTGCTTGTTTCATGTAAAAAGAAATTGAAAGGTTAGAATATTGATCTAATCTCAAATTATATGTATTTGACATTTGTTCCAGAGTAGTTAGATCACCTTATTAATTACCGAAATAGAAACAATATTACTATCTCTATCTCTAAAATATTTGTCATGAATATAATTAATAAATCTCAAAAAAGGTATGAAAACACATGTTGTAATGTGTTTTTTTTTCCTGGATAATCAATTATGATCTCTAAATCCAGTATGAGAGACAGAAAGAATAAATCATTAGCCATGTATATAGCTATATACAATATCTATTATTCTCTCTCTCTCTCTCTCTCTCTCTCTCTCTCTCTCTCACACACACACACACACACACACACACACACACACACACACACACAGTCTAGTGATTATCATTGATAAGGAATGAATTTCTATCATAGCAAGTATTTCTTATGATAAACATATTTAATTCTGTTTTGATCATTAATCAATTTATATGATAATTTTGTACAAAATACTATTCATCATATTGTTACAACAAATAATTTTATTTTCAGTTCAAAAAAGGTATGATTTTAATGATATGAGTACAGTTCCATTTATATTACCGAGTCCACTCACATTTTAATCCTTCAGATTTTCACTATCTATATTATGATTCCTTCATGTTTAAATGGTTTCCAATTAGATGAACCACTGCAGTGATTCATTGTTGAAAAATTATGAAAATCTTTGTAGTATAACATTTATAAAAGTAATGTCGTCAGTACATTTCTTGATAGAATTCAGGCTGCCTCTATAATAACTTCACTGCATAAATAAATAGTTCCACAATTTGTTTTTCATGCTTGGGATATTGTGAATAAATTAAATTTGACAAAAACTTTTGAAACATAATGTACATTGCTTATTTTAATCTGTTTCCAAGATTTCTAAATAAGACTTGTAATGAAGCAATGATGAGCTTTCAGATTGAATAAATTTGGTTTATTTTCTATGGCTTTTTCTATTCTTTTCTAGTTTTACTATTTCCAAGGAATACTAAGTAGAGCATAGTTTTCTCTAGTTTTGATCTTTTATGGTTGTTATCTTCAGAGGAAAACAAGTTTTGTGATGTCCCTCTCACAGTTCACAGGCAACTGAACAGGGTTGGCTGGGCTTTTGTATTTGAAGTTGACAAGTTGATCTCTGATTGGTCCTAATCTGAGGAGTCCAAAAAAGACGGTTCCTGAGCAGAACAAGAGAAAAGTAGACCATGACCATTTAGCCCCTGTAGCTCATTGCTGCTTCATTGTTGCCAGCCATGAAAGTCTATACTAAAGAACTGTAATTTTTTCGAAAATTGTTTCATTATATATTACATTAGCACAATGTGGCATAATTGTAGAGAAAATGTAGCATAATGCAAAGCATAGAATAGAGCATAATTGCAAAGTAATGTAGTTGTGATAGACCACATTCGGCAAAATAAAGACATAAATACTATTCTTTCTTTATGAAAATAAAGCTCTTTTATTAATTCTTCATAGACTGTTATCCATAGTTCCAGTGCAACTGGAAGTTCCATAGCACATTTATAAATTTTAAAGAAATGTAATAGCTCAAGAGTGTCAAACTCGCAACATCACGTGACGTGTTTTTCCATTGCTGGCAATGGAGTGGGCGTGGTTTCAGCATGACATATCTGGCCCTCAGGCTGTCAGTTTGACACCCCTGTAATAGCTTATCCCACACCTGGTAACTTTCAGTGCTGTGCTATTTTCTCTTTAAACAAATGAGCATCTTTAAAATCTCCTCTATTTGATGCTTTCCTTATTTTTAGCTAGAACGTGTGGTTCTAACCTCCGTGGTCCAAGTGGTATTATCACATCACCCAATTATCCTGTTCAATATGAAGACAATGCACACTGTGTATGGGTTATAACAACCCTTGATCCAGAAAAGGTATGTTCCCCATTTTGTAGGTTTCTAAACAGTTACAATGAATGTATTGATATTTGCATAAATAAAACATTTTTCTTTGTTTGTAGTATGTAATAATTTACTTGAGTTTTGATAACATTTTGAATATGCAAAATATAGAGCAAAAAAGTATTTGTAGGCAATTCTGTTTCACTTCCTTAATATCAATGTGAACTTATGTCTTAGTGATTATTTAATACTATATATACTTTTGATGTCAACAAAAATGAAGTCATTTTAGAATTGCAGTAACTTTTCTGTTTGTAGATTTCTTGTTCACCAAAGTAACTGTGACCATTCAAAGATTTTAGTTTGTGACATAATCTGAGAGACTCTTTCTACATTAACAATCATGTTCTATTTGACATAGTACCAAAATTGCTTCGTGATAAGACTGAGATATATTTTCTCTTTGAGCTTAGTCTGATCAACTTGGTTTATTAAATTTCTGAATTAACAGCATATAAAAAGCCAGAAATTGCAGTGTTTGATCAAATTATTATAATTGTATAGTTTAAAGGGGGAAATGTTAAATTTAGAAGCACACACACACACCCACATACACACACACACACATACACACAGAGAGACATATATATCTTATGCATTTATAAATAAGCCAATTCAAGGAAACTTCTTTTTGTCTCTCTCATTAAACATCTGTTGCTTTTTCCTATAGCGTTATTTTTTTCCATTTCAATAGTAGTGAGCTATTCGGGTTTGTTCTCTACTTGTTCAAACGTACTTTATTTTAATGCTCTGCTTATTTTAAAGGCTTTCTAACATGTGTTTCCTCTGGGTCCTACTAATGTATCTGCTGAACATAACCCTACTGAGTCATTTCTTAGAGGTTTATAGCTTACAAATAGCTATTTTGCATTGGATTTTTTTTTCCTAATGGCTTTAGTAAGGTTGGGCTGCAGGTGTTTTAATTTGCAGTTAATTCCTGAGGTATTTTAATTTTTGCTCCTTTGGGTTTTTTCCCCTTCTTAATATTTTCCATTTTGGGATGATTTCCACAACCCAACTTAATTAGCTACTACTTTGTATTTCTGCAATTTGGGTTACAGTAGTGCCTGTTCCTCCTTTCTTTAGCTTTTTCTATTCTGCTCTAACTGTACTGTTCTGAAGGAACACTGAGCGTAAAATAATTTTTGACATCCATTCTAATATTGTCTTGACTACTTAGAGACTTTGGAATATCGTAATCATTGTTTTTTAGATAGGAGTAATTACACTGAACCTATTTCAGTCTGGGATTCAGTCTGACTTGAAGAAAGGTTCATCCTAATACATGATTTCCTTCAGGAAAGATACAGAAAGAGTGATTTCATTATCTTGCTTGATCTCTTAGCTTATTCTTCTGTCTTCATGACTGAAGGGATAGTTTCATAGAATTAAATTAAGTAATTGTGGCTCTGGACATTGACAGATATACCACAGGGGACTATTTGGTTCCCAGTGATATTTAATATCCATATGAAGGTATTGAGAATTCATCAGGAATATGAATAGTATATTATATGGATGGATGTCATATATAATATAGATTCAGCTCATATAACTCTCCCCTCCTCATAAGACATGCATGTTGTGCCAAAAAGTAGGGGAAGTAAAATGAATTTAAAGTTATGAATATATATTCATATTGAAATTTGTGCTCAATATGCTATTGATTTGATTATCTTAATATTTTGTGATATTTTGTGAGATTAAGCTATGCCAAAGATGAGTTTTATTGGTTAGAATAGAATAGAGCTGGAAAGGACCTTGGAGGTCTTCTAGTCCAGCCCCCTGCTCAAGCAGGAGGACCTATACCATCTCAGACAGGTGACTGCCCAACCTCTTTTTAAAAATCTCCAGTGATGGAGCTCCCACAATTTCTGGAGTCCTCACTGTCAGGAAGTTTCTCCTTAATTCCAGGTTGCTTCTCTCTTTGATCAATTTCCAACCATTGTTTCTTGTCCTGCCCTTTGGTATTTTGGTGAATAACATGAACCCCTCTTCTTGGTGGCAGGCCCTCAAATAGTGGAGTACTGCTATCATGCCGCCCCTATTTTTTCTTTTCTTTAGACTAGCCAAACCCAAGTCCTGCAGCTGTTCTTTGTATGTTTTAGTCTCCAGGCCTTTGATCATCTTAGTTGCTCTTCTCTGAATTTTCTCCAAACTCTCAACATCTTTTTTGTGATATGGTGACCAGAATTGGCTGCAGTATTCCAGGTGTGGTCTTACTAGGGTTATGCAAAATATTCTCTGTATTTATCCCATTTGCCTCATAATTATTGCAGCTGCTGCATGACAGAATTTTAATTATGAAAATAAAATGGCTTCTGAAACTGAAAGTTGGTGCAAATTAGTTATTGTTCTTTCTGTTCTTTTTTAAAATAATCCTACCACTATGTAAAGAGTGAGTTGATGTAGTGGTTTACAGTGCTAGAAACTGGGAGACCATGAATTCTGGTCTTGCCTTAGGAACAAAGCCAGCTGAGTGACCCTGGGCCAGTCAGTTCTTCTCAACCCTGGGAAGCAAGCAAGGGCAAACCAATTCCAAGTGGTTCCAAAAATTCAGAAAAACTTGCAAAGTAAACAACAGGGATTAGACATCAGAAGTCAATACCAGCTTAAAAGTTCCATCCTCTTTGTATCCCCTTTTACTAGTTTTATTGAACTCTTTGAAACCAATTAAAAGAAGGTTGATGGGGGTACAAGTATCTTCTTGATCATATTTAATAAAGAGAATTATAAAACATTTCAATTTGGACCTATGTGCTAGAGTTTTGGTAATGTTTTATGTTGAAAAATGACAAATTATTAAGCAGATATCCCAATTTGAATGCTTTTGTTTCTAAATACACATTAACATGACATCTGAGCAGTCATAACTAGAAGAAATGATTATGGTAAACAGTATCAGGCTTCAGGAATTTTAAATATTTTAGGTTGAAGCATGCATCTGTAGTAACCATGAATTATTCATAACCTTGTTCATTTCCAGTTACTCCTTTTCCTTTCTTTAACTTTTCCTTTTTGTTCAGTAGAGATTTGAAAGTCCCACAACTTTCTATCACATATGCCATGTAACTTTGCCTCAGAACTTCCCCAACATATTAATAACCCCTGCCTCCAAATTTTCTTATTCTGTGATGGGAAAAAGAAAACAGCCAGGTGATAATGGGTAGATAAATGGTCCAGCAGAGAATTCTCCAAAGGAAAGATAAAATAAATGCTAATTTATTTAGAGCAGAAGCTCTAACTGGTTTTAATAGCATTAATTTATTTTTGTTTTTAAAAGCATAACACTTTAGGGATTCTGCAAATTGGGAGGTTGGTACTAATACAAAACCAAAAACAATCAAGCATTTACATTAGAAATTAGTGTCACCACCTAGCTGAATGAATTCTCTAGGGTACATAGTTAAATAAAAGCATCAGTTTAAAGGTAAAAAAGTGGGAAAGACACAATTATATTAGGATATTAGAAGATGAATCATCTAGGATCAAGAAATGGCAAGAGAGCAATCAAAACAATTTCAATAAATACTAGGTTGGATCCGACTTCTAGGCTGGATGGGAAACTCTTTGAAAATGGAGTTCTGTTGGCAGAAAGGGCAAACTGATATTTGCTTACATTATCATTCTTCTGCAGTTCATATCATCATCATTTATTCTGCTATTACATTTGTGGGCTGAATTTTACTCTCTCCTAAATTTCTTCCTTTAAACAAATGATGAGGCTTCCCATCTCACAACAGTGACCCTAAGCAGCGAACAGAACATTACAAGCAAACAGGCAGCACAACACAATTTCTTAAGACAAACATTGTGCCTCCACACCCAACTATCTCAATTGGTACAGCAGTATATTCATCATTAATGGTATTTAAAGCCACTGAGAGATCAAGGAGGGCCAGGATGCCCTAGCCTCATCCTACACCTGCCGTAGGTCATCAGCAAGTTTGACTAATGCCATCTCAGTGCTGTGATCAGCTCTGAATCTGATTGAAAATACTCTGCCCCCTCAAGGTAATCATCTTCTCAACAGCCTTCCATAGAAAGGGAGTATTTGGAGACTGGACAAAAATTGCCCAATTTCATTGGGTCCAGCATGGCCATCATAAAGGGCAGATTATTCCCTCTACAAGGCAAACAGAACCATCCCCTCGTGTAAATAAGCATTACTTCCTGGGAGGCCTTATCAGCCACAACAGATATGGATCTATGTCTCCATGGACTAATAGGCTCAAACTGTTCCCAAAGAACTGTTCCAAAGGCAACTCCTTAGTACTTGCACATCCAAGCATATCTAAGCAACTTGATTGGATAGATACCTGGAATAGTCCTTGCAGGAGCTCTGTAAATGTTCTCCTGACCATTTCTTGCTGAGGAGGAACTGGTCACCTTGAACAAGCTTCCAGCCAACCCAATAATAACTACACTTGTCACTATAACTACACTATGGCAAAATGTAACTCTTAAGACAAGATCTTATCTATCTCAAACAGATTCATTCTCTGTTTTTTACTAGTGATGTTCTAGATACCTTTTATAACTCTTCATCACCCAGAGTTCTTCTGAAAAATCAAAGGATGGATGCATGGACCTAGAGAGGCTGCAGAAGTGCAACTTGATCCATGTTATGCCACATTACAATCCACAACTGACCATTTCTCAACATACTAAAAGGTTTTAAGGGAGATTGGTTTGGGAGAGCTCAAAATTGGAATGCTTTTGCCCTAATACTTCCTGAAACAAACTGAATCAAGCAAAACTAAGCCATCAATAGTATTTGCAAAGCAGGCTGGAAAAGCAATCTACCTCTAGTCCATATAAGCCAAAAAAAGGGTATAGTAGGTCCTGTAATAAAGTCTTTGTTATTATATTGTTTTTCAAATATGCATTGTGGATATGCAATATGTACTTGAACAGGACAGCCTTTGTCATTCTGAGCAAACTGCCAGTGAGCTGATTAAAAATATGATTGC